ATCGACCACGTTGCATTACCGAAAAGTTTCTCCAGAAAGAAGGACTCACAGCCGATCTTTCTGGACCGTCTCTTCTCGTCGTTTCACGATGGAGTCGACACAAACACTGGAGCTGAACTTGTTCTCTATGATCTGACGTCTCTTTGCTCTCGGGTTAACACCTCGCTACCTCTCTGACTGACGAGAACAATTACATTCAGACGACTTTCAAAACGTTCACACAAAGAGAGGAAGTTTGAACCGACTTAAAGCGACGGATGAAGGCTTAAAAAAAAAGAGTCTGTGAAATGGAATTAAAACATGATGTCTTTTCTTTTGTGCGCTGAATGAATTTACTTTGCATGAAACGTCATGATTATAAAACTAAAGTGTTTGACTCTGTTCTTAAAGTGTTTGAGGTGTCTGATCCTTTTCCTCCACTGCCTCTGTGACAGAACTAAACTTTGAGAGCGTCTTAAGTGAACGTTAAAATTCTCCTGAATAAAACACTAAAGACACTTTTCAAACATCACAACCGCTCCTTTGATTGTTTTTTTTTTGTTCTCGGGCCTCTCCTGATGAGAAGCGGACCTCAAAGAGACTTCTTAATTAACCCTGAGATTAAGTAAACGAAACAATGAAAAACTTTCATCACAGAACAATCGCTTCATCGTTTTTAGATTTCGACAGCTTCTGAACGTCAGAAATCATCCCGGACAAACGGAGAACCTGTGAGAGCAGGTCCCGAGCTAAATCATCTGTGCTGCACGGACGCAAAACTGTGTCTATCTTCAAATGTATTTTTTCTTAAAGTGAGTAGAGTACGAGTAACACCTCATTTAGTTTGATTCTGACCAGCTTGACGCGTGCTTGTAGCGAGAATGAAGAGTGGCCCGACTTGTCGCAACCGATGATTTGTCGGAATAATCCGCCGTAATAATAATCCTCAGGAGTGTGCGGCGTCAGTACGATTATTTTTGATCGATCTGGAATCACAAATATCAAGCATGTTTGATATTTCTGATTGCAGCTGACGGAATACCCACAGCTGGTGTTTCCACGGCAACGATAAACATGTGGTGTCTGTCATGACAACTCTGAAATGAAGGTTTTTCTTTGGCTTTGAAAAACTGTTGGAAATATTCAAGGTAATGTAAAACCCTCAACATATTCAAATGTAGATATTTAAATGTAAACATCGTAATGAAATTCTACATATTGTACCTTTTAGAGGTTATGGCGTTTTGCCTCTCTCGCACTCGTCTCCATTATGAATAAGTTCCATAATGACTGCTCAACATGAGAGGAGCAGAACGGATGAAGCTGCATGTGATATTTATCATCTGACACACGAGGCAAGGGCCCGAAGCTCCTTTGTTTCTCCTCTTCATGGAGGCAGCAGAGCCGGAGAGCGGCGCTGAGTGGGAAATTATTGATAACACAGAAGAAGAAGAATCATCACTCGATACATCAATGACGCAGGTTAGAAGTTTGAGTTCAGGGTTTCTGGGATTTTAATATCTGAAAAAAGATTTATTCCAATGCCGTAACTTTTTTTAGGCAACCCTAACCGAAACTAAACGTGGTCAAAGTTAAAGCTCATGAGGTAAATGTATGTTGGTGTAATCCCAGGATGAGCCTGCAGAGGGCGCTAAACGGCATAGTTTCCCGATATGAAACCAAGAATTTCACCAGACGGCTTCAAACCTTAAACCTAGTACACAGACTCTCTTCTCCCAGCACTGGAGAGCAGCCCTCCCCCGGCAGCCCTGCAGCGTTCTGACCCACTGAAGGTTTCCAGAGAGCTGGCCAATCAGAAGAGAGAGGGGCCTTAAAGAGACAGCAGCTCAGGCAGAGGATGATATGGTATCTTTAATATCTGATTTCCCGTGGGTGTCAAGTGATGAAAATAAACAGCTCGTCCTGCAGCTGCACGGTGTGTTCAACGGTGGCTACTTTCCAACGCTCGTCTCGCCCTCATGGAGTCTGCGACGGTCACGCTATCCTATAGTTCCTAAATGTTCTTAATTATTATTATAGGCAGGTCGACGAGAATCTTTCAGAGTCTTTACAGAGTCCATTACATCCTCTCTCGATCCGCTGCTGCTGCTGCTGTTATGACTAAACGTCAGGATGCCTTCATTCTCAGTCGTTTTGTTTTTTTTATGACTAAGAGGACATTTTCTAAACGTGGTTTTATTTGTGTATCTGTGTGCGTGTGTGTGTGTGTGTGTGTGTGTGTGTGTGTGTGTGTGCGTATCATGTTGTGTAATGCACTGCTGGCCACATTCTGTACTTTTGTAACCCCCGGAGTACAGAGTCGGTTCTGTTTACATGTGTGGGTGTCTGTTTGTTTAGAATGGTGGATGTACTGTGTGTGTGTGTGTGTGTGTGTGTGTGTGTGTGTGTGTGTGTGTGTGTGTGTGTGTGTGTGTGTGTGTGTGTGTGTGTGTTAGATGAACATTTCCAGCCCTCTCTAACTCGACTTCAGATTTAACCTTTCACGATTCACCGCTGCGCTCCGACGGGAAGCTGCACCTCGGAGGTTGATTAATCGATTTTTTTTTAACATAAATTAATTTCATCAAGTCTACGGCAGATAGACGAAGTATTCTCCTTCCTCTAGACCAGTCGGCATGTCTTCCCCTCCTCTGAAAACACATTCCTCAGGTCCAGGTCTTTTTTTTTCTTCCACCCTCAAACTTCCCCTCCTTCCCCCATCACCCACTTTCCTCTTTGTTCTGCAGTGTCATGGCGTCCCTGATCGCCCCCCTCCTCTTCTCTACTTTACTTTTTAGGAGAAGTCTGTATTTTATTTTGAAGGAACAAGCTACTGACTGTCTGTATTTTCTTTGCACATTTTTTGCATCCATCCACGGTGAGTTTTACTTCCCCCTGCTCTTCTTCTTGTTTTCCCTTTGAACATATCTTCACCCCGTCCCGTTAGAACAGACTGATAGTTTAAGCTCCGCACAAACTGCACAAAAGGAGACATGATACTAAACATGATGCATTAATCCTCTCTTCAAACACCCTCCTCCTGTGTTTGTTAAAGCTCGGATTATCCCCGTTTGTGTGATTTAATCTGTGATACTCTGGATGCAGAAGCTAATCTTAGCGTTAGCCTTGAAAGCACTTACAGCAACATTTCTCAGAAGAAGAAAAGTAAACAAGCACATTCTGGACTCAAAGGAAGCTCGTCGTAGAAGCTCTTGGAGATGCGATACACGAGAGATAAAAAAATCTAAAAGAATCACTTAAAATTCCTGTGTTGGCAAAGCGAGGTCATGTTAGACCGCTCCAGCGTACGGCTTTCTAAAGAGGCAGAGTTTAACGACCTTCTTTTATTATAAAAAGGAGTGCCTTGAAGTTTTCTTGTAAACATTATGTCACCTTGAAGAAGAGCTTCTGAATCATTCTGATGGTACGCTGACTCGTGGCGAGAGAGATGAAGCCTTTTTTCTTACACATTCTGCTCTCTTCACTCTTGTTCAGCTCGGGTCGAGAGTGTGCTATCTTTGGAAAGAAGTGCGTTTCCCTTTAAGGCCTGATTTTCTGGCAGAAACTTTTACTCATTGCTCATCCTAACTCGGTGTTCCAGGTGCAGAGATCCCGGCATCAACAGAGAGACTGAGAAAGAAGGAAGATAAGAAAAGCCAAAGAGTGAATCTCTGACATTATTCTACCTCTTAGCGAGGGAGTTAACCACACCGCAGCGCTGCCGTGTCAAAAAAGGGCTGCAGATTTTTTGCACGGTGCTCTAGATCTGCAGACTGACACGCTTCGTTTTTAGATCTGACAGATTTGTTACAAACACACAACAAAAGCAGCAGCAGTACAGTCACTTCGATACAAACAATCAGCCTGCAGAAAACCCTCCTCAGCGTGCTGCACAGACACGACCTCACACGTGCAGAACGGTCACAGACGAAAGCACAGCGACTGAAGGACAGGCATGCCGATGAACACAACCACAGCGACTGCAAACTTTGGTTTATATGGAGAATATTCCTTTTTGACCCGGAGTTGTACATCTACACCCGTTTGTTTTTGTATTTTAGAGATTATAAATCTTTATTTAAATTCTATTCTGCTGCTATAGTTCTTTATTTTATTTATTTATTGGGATTCTGTTTGCATCTTTGGACGTTTCAACACCTCACCTGTTTGGTTTTGTTAAAACAAACTCAAGTCTGTTTGCTGAGTTAGTACGGTCCGTTGGCGCTGGTTTGAAAGCTGTCAATCAAACCCTGGTGTGGACCAAACAACTGCCTGAAAAGGAGGGTCTCTATCTGCTCTCAGACTCTGGTACGGTTCGTTTGTAAATAGAACATGAATCGACCTCGATCAGACCTAACTGCAGGAAGTAACCAGCGGGCTCCCTCTCTGTTCATCATCTCTGAACATGTGTTAAAGACCACAGGCAGACCTGATGGAGCTTCAGAAACAGTTTGTGTGGCTGAGCAGGTCCTGGTTCAGGAGGATTAACCTGGTCCTGGTTCAGGAGGATAAACGTGGTCCTGGTTCAGGAGGATAAACGTGGTCCTGGTTCAGGAGGATTAACCTGGTCCTGGTTCAGGAGGATAAATGTGGTCCTGGTTCAGGAGGATAAACGTGGTCCTGGTTCAGGAGGATAAACGTGGTCCTGGTTCAGGAGGATTAACGTGGTCCTTCTCCTTCAGCGACTCCAGAACATCAACATGTTATTTTCAAACTGTCTCGTTTTCCTCCAGGGATAAATACAAACACTATAATATACCCGTGTAGTCGTCTGTCCGTTTAGAAACTGTAAACTGTCTTTGGAGCTGCCACAGCCAATCAGGAGTCAGCTCGTCTTTCTTTACTTCAGGGAGTTTTACCTCAAGAAATTAAGACCAGCATTTTCCTCGAGCATCACACATTTTGGTCCTCTCGTAAATGTCCCCGTCTGAAAAAACTGGAACAAACTGGTTGATGATTCAGACCAGATAAAACGAGCTAGAGGTGTGAAAACGCCCTAAAATGTAACGCATGATTAAGGGATTAATTGCTTGTAATCAGCCTATAAAATGTAGAAGTTTCCCTTCTGCCTCCGAGCCAAACAAAACAAAAACACAACAAGCTTCCGCATTCCGACTACCAACCTGCGGTCCAAAGCATCTGAAGGGAGGCTGGACAGAGCAGAAGTCCTACAGAGGAAGACGGGAGCATAGAGAGCACAGAGAAAAGTGGGCCATGTGCAGACATTTGCAGTTAAACCAATCAGAAATGAGCCGTGCATCTCGACGCATAAACACACACGTGTTTAGGTTTGATAAAGTTTTCTTGACTGCTTTCAAAATGTCGCGCTGTTTCAGCTGTTTGACGTGGTGTAATTATAAGAGTTGGAAGGAAAGTGGTCGGCATTAACTCCCCTGAACACAGACTGTTTTATCAGCCGTGTTCTCCCCCTCCTCGGTCTTACCTCTTGCAGGCGCTGGATGTGCTCTCTGCAGGTCTCTAAGTCGCTGTCACCAGGAACCACGATCAGGCCCAGAGGAATGGCTGGTGGAGATACAGAGGAGCAAGACAATTATCCAACAGCTCTGTGAAAGCTGCTCATACAGTCGTACCCAGGGGTGTGTCTAGACCTTTTTGGACTGGGGCACTGACTCATGCAGGGGTGGCCCGACGTTACAAAGATGAGCAAATTCACAATTTGAAGTACTTAGAAAGTTGCATGCAAACTCGTGCATGCTGGCTTACTTTCAAAAACACATTTAAGTCCATCGCAAGTTAGACGGTGCAACTTTTACTTTTTCAAATCCAACAAAGAAATCTCCCTCCGCTCACAACAATCACAGCGACCAACGGGACATGAAACTATTGTAGTCGTCTCATATTCAGCGCTGAGACGAGGCCGATAAGACAATAAGAATGTCAACAATATTCGGATTCACGACACATTTCTTTGGTGTTGAGCTAATGCATCCTCACATCCAAAGGTTACACCAATATGTTGTCTTTGGTGTCTTTACTTCAAATAAACAAGCGAGGTGGCGTGTCTTCAATAAGCAGATATATGTTTTTGAAATGATAAAGATTGCTCCCCGAGGCTGAGCCGGCCTGCCGCCGCACGCTGCACCAACACAACAACACTGCTGGCTGAACATCACACAGCTTACTGCTGGAGGAGCCGTCGAAGAGCGGGCGAAGAGCTGCTTAACCCACACACACACACACACACACACACACACACACACACACACCTTTCATTGATGCGTTACACCTCAATGGGGAAGGCAAGGATAAAGAGCGAGCTGTAGTAACAGATTCTTGAAAAGTCTCCAAAAATTCCCTGAAAGACGGATTTATGTAGGAGGCGAATATAAAAACAAAACCTACAAAAAAACATTCTCAATAAATTAACATGATCCCTGATTCCACAGTCTCACTTTTCCCTCACCGTCCAATCAAAATCAAGAAGGGGTGGGGCTTCTGATATCAGCTTTGTCGACAACAACGGGGAAGGAGACGCTAGTCTGCCTAGTCTTTTCCAGGGAACAATTTCCAAGTGTAGAGCTGCTGCTGATCTCAGGACACGATTCATTTAGGTTATTATTAAGGTTTCAAGTCAAGACCAAGACCAAGGCAGGGCGAGACCGAGACCGAGGCAAGACCAAGACCAAGACCAAGACCAGGGTGCTTGATGACAGAGACACGACCAAAACCATAAACAGTATATCTGAAAAATCATCATGATTGTGAACAAAATTTGCCAAGTTTGCTTTTAAATAAATTTGGGAGCAACAACAAAGTCTCTGTACTTTAGTTTTCAAAGCACCACAATGTAAAAAAGTCAGAGACCAAGACAAGACCATCAGAAATGCTTTAGAGTCTGAGACGAGACTGAGACCTTTAAAAAAAAGTGGTCTCCAGACCTGGACCGATCTTGGGTCCTAGGACACTAGCTTGGCCATCACAGGCTTCTGTACTTTTGTTTTTGTCATCTTATTTAATGACTCTGATACCTGAGTGAACATAAATGAAAACTCTCACCGGTAAAACTGTAATTTGACCAGAATATTTTGTGTACCGGCTGAAGTCTCTCTCGCTGAAAAGTGCAAAGATGATACCTCTGCAGCTATGAAAGGAAAATCCAAAATCTGTGTGAAACCATCTCTTTATTCTCAGCGTGTTCAGGATGGTTTTTTTTAACAAGCCTCAGTGAGAGAGAGCGAAACGGCGATGAGATGATATAACGGCTGAACCTCGGGGGTATGAATCATATTTCCACCATCTCCCCGAGAGTGACACATCCACAAGTGGAGAGCGCCGATTGATTTGCATAATGAGAAAAAACAAGTCAGACTGACGGGAAACGACGGACGAGATGTGAAAAGTAATGAAATCACCTGAAGCCAATAAAAACTCTTTAAATACAAAGATGAATTATTTATATTCATTACAGTTTAATATATGTACACGCTTACATATCTCCACTCACATACATTATTTACAGTTTATAAAGGCTGTTGTTTGCATTATTGTAAAGGTAACAGCGCCCCCCTGTGTTTAAACTCGGTACTAACAGGGATTAAATGAGTGTGTGTGTTCTGCAGAGCTGGCTCGACGTAATTGTTCCTAACAAGCGCAGAAGACGAGTTTTCTCTTTCTTTTATCTCACAGCAACCGTGTGTGTGTGTGTGTGTGTGTGTGTGTGTGTGTGTGTGTAGCATGTTTCTTTTCTGAACACACACACGTTCAGGGAGTGATGCAGGCTGCAGAGGCAGTCCAAAAAAAAGGATTGCATTGACCTTCACGTCACCGCTCCGACCTTCTCGTCGACAAGCGATCGTGTTCCCGCCGCAGCCTGAAGATGCAAGCTGTCAGAAAAGGAGGCGAGACGTCGGGCTTTCTGACCCTGATAAACTGCTCTGAAGAAATCTCACTGACAAACAAGACGCAGCGGGAGAGTGAGACGTGACCTGATACGACCAGAAAAAAAACAAAACACTTTTTAAAAAGAGAGGCGTTTTTAAAAAGCGTTCTGCTACTCAAGATCGTTTAATCTGATAATCAACATCAGAAGAAGATAAACTCTGATGTGCCATTCAGTGTATTTTTGTGTGTGTGTGTGTGTGTCCTTACATGCTTGCCGTAGTTTGTCCTTGTCGTAGTGCAGAGCCTCGTAGTCCGTCATGCTGATCCTGCTGACCCGGATCCTCAGCCGCTCGGGGACCGGCTGCTGACTGAGACACAAAAAACCCCAAAATCAAATTAAAGAGATGAATAATTCAAAGTCTGAATGATAAGACACTTCATTGTTAGGATGGTGAGTGTGCAGATGTGTGTATGTGTGTGTGTGTGCGTGGAGGCGTACTCGTTCATGTGAGGCAGGGAGGTCCGTCGTTTGGTTTTCTGCACCATGTTGGCCTGGTTTCTCAGGCTGATGTGGATGACGGACGGAGCGAGTCTGCACGGTTCTCCATCCACCTGAAGCAAATCAACAAACCAGACGCAGAAACAAGTTACTACCAGGACTCGTTTTATCAGCAATTCTTTGACTTTATTTATTGTTTGGAGTGAGAAAAAAAAAATCAGAAAATAGAACATGCACGTTTCTGAAAATGTTTTTCTTAAAATGTTTTTCTCCAAACTCGTGTTGTAGCACTCAGAATCGGTCTTGGTCTGCACTCACCTGCACTGGGAGAGGTTTAGTGGTGGTGAGGGTGACTTCTCTGCACTGGTTCAACCTCTCGCCGTGACCGCCAACCTGGAGAGTGGCCTACACACACACACACACACACACACACACGTTACCTATCATGTAGTCATTATTGCAGCTATGACTTCATAAAGCACTTCTCTTTTCCCCCGAGGCGCCGTATTCCCCAACAGATGGATGAGGGATCTGTGGCTTTGAATCTCACGATGCTTGTTTTTAAATTGTTCTGTGCAATTAAACCGAACTGTCTGCATGAATCATTCTGACATTTAAGAGCTCGGCATCTGTTTTTACCGAGTTGTGCATCATTCATTATCCTGAAAAAACACGCTTCAGACCATCTGGATGACACAAACAATGCGTCCGCTTTGGACTCAGACGGACACCAGAAACAAAAACCATTCTTTTGCACAATATAATTATTTTATATTATAGTTATTTAGTACAAAGTATAAAGTAGGAAATTTGAAATCAACACAGAAAACTTTTATTTTGGCTCCTCATCATGCAAATCAGCTGTTTGGATTTGCATGTTTCGAGGTCAAAAAGCTCCTGAGTCTGGGGTTGTTGTCCTTGAGGAGAGCGATGTGACAGCTGTTTACGGTTTAAAAAAAAAAAAACTCTTTAACAAAGAGGTCGATCTCTGTCGGGATCACTTCTGTAATGCTGCTGCTTAGTTCCACAAAGTCAATGTTTCTACGAGATCACAGGAGAACTACAAGAGCTCAGGAGAACTACAAGATCTCAGGAGAACTACAAGATCTCAGGAGAACTACAAGATCTCAGGAGAACTACAAGATCTCAGGAGAACTACAAGATCTCAGGAGAACTACAAGATCTCAGGAGAACTACAAGATCACGCGGGAATTAAGAGAACATGTTTCTTTGTCTCTCTGAGGATGATTTGTAGTTCATTCAGTGCCTGTTTTGACCTCATGCTGATTGCCTGATTATGTTGCAGCCATCACAGCCTGTTTCCCTGCTGCAGGCTGAAGAAATCTACAGGAGTAATCCCTAAACTTTAAGGACCTGTGAGTTATGTTAAACCCTTAAAATACGTCAGAATTAGAGGCACGGGTCAAGGAATCGAGCTCCATACCAGTGACGTCATTGTGAATCCGATGACCTCGATGTACCCGTCATCGTGCCGCTGCGGCTCAAAGTCGTGGTGATCTCCAGGGTTTCCCCAAGGTGTGGTGCCGGCACAATACCTGCAAACACACACACACACACACAACAGCAGCTCAGTCTGCGACACTTTGATTGTCTGAGAGTCTGTTCCTCCGTTTCTAACTTTGCTTCATTACCTGAAACAAACAACACTCGCAGATATAACGAGACGCAGCAGGAACCCCTCGTCGACATCATCACGGTGTGATTTGATTAAAGCTCCTTGTGACTGATTTAAGGACGTAATCTCTCCGTCTTCAGAACCTGCACACACTCCGCAATTAACTCCTCCTCAGTGTCAGCGAGGATTTAAAACCTTGGCGGTGAAGACGAGGCTCCCCCTGCTCGGGGACGGGGTTTATTACACATCATTCTCCGACGCCACGAGCCGTAATTTACCAACGACAATGAACGAGATTAAAAAACAATTTGACTAAATTGGGGCCTTATTTCTTCGGTGTCATGAGCAGCTTGTGTAATATCGCGCCCCCAGATGAAAAACATTCAAAGTCGTTTGACAACTTTTATTGGCTGTTTTTTAATTCAAGATGTGACTTTGTGCAAACTGCAGCAATGACACTTTCATGGAGTCTTTCAAGGTGCCAGATTTCATGTTTTCACGACATGTTAACTGTTTATATTAAGAGAATAAATCCTACGAGCTGTCGAGTCAAATCACAAAACTCAAAAGGCTCGTCAATAAACTTTTTCTCCGGTGTTGACACGAGTCAGAGCTCAACATTTCAAACATGATGTGGATATTATTAATGCTCCATTATCTCCAAAGTCTGGACACGCCCCCTGTTGATATCGACCTCTAAAGGATGATAAGATTCAGGTTTGATTCCTTATGACACATCGTCCTGATTTTAAAACTTATATTTACTTAAATACTGAAAGAATCAGAAGTGGGATTTATCACCTGGGGATGTTGAGGAAGACCAAACACTGCAGCTTCAAGTCCTGAACCTTCGAGGTTAAATCTGTGCCGTCACACTGCGGAGAGAGAGAGGGCGAGAGAGAGAGAGAGGGAGAGAGAGGAGAGAGAGAGAGAGAGAGAGAGAGAGAGAGAGAGAGAGAGAGAGAGAGAGAGAGAGAGTGATTGAGTGTTTTTCTCACAGGCAGCTGACTGTTTGATTGACAGATACTCACCACCACTTTGATGTGCTTCGACAGGTCTTTGGAGCTTCCCATCAGGAAATCTGAGAACGCCGTCTGTGCGGGATACACACACACACACACACACACACACACACACACACACACACACACACACACACACACACACACACACAAACACAGGAACAGGTAAATTCTCTCAGAGGAGCGCATCATGAAGCCCCCAGCAGGATTTGTGGTCTACCACACAGGTTTCTAAGAGGGGACAGCCAGATTATCGTTGTTTGGAGATGTGACATTTTAAAATGTAGAAAATAAACGGTTTACTCACCCCAGCGTAGAACATCTTATTCCTAAAGCGGCTGTTAAACTTCTCCGGGTTCGCCTCTGAAACAACGACAGACAGCGAGACGGAAAATCAACAAAAACCTCTGAGAACAATGAAGCAACAGCAACTTATAACATTCATATTAACACAAAACAAGAGAAGCTGTTTGACAGATTACGCTGCAAGATTCAAGATAAATTTTCTCCTCCCACAAAGTGAGAAGTTTATGTCGTTCTCTGTTACCATGCTGCATCATTCACGTTAAACTTAACACTCTGAATGATAATAAATAATGTCAGAAAAACTCAAACTTGCTAAATTACAAGGAGGAATCCAGTGCAGGTCCTGGCTACCTTAAAAGCTTCTGGTTACTTTAAGAACGTACCTCTTGATTCGTGGAACTCCAGAGTCACATGGGCGTCAAATCCAAGACTGAAGTAATTATTAAAAACATCGAGGGGAAGCTGAGAGAACACACAAACACATATAAAGCATATCCGTTACATTGGGTTTACAGTTGAGTCAAATCTGGGTTCTTTTCTCTGCTAGAAACCATAGCCAATAGGTAAGTAGAAAAAAGGCTGCAGTTCCTCCAGTGTCCACTAGAGTCTGTCTCCTGCAGTGAGTCAGTCCCCATAGAGCCCCATGTTAAAATGTCTAACTTTACAGCTGCAGTTCCTCCAGTGTCCACTAGAGTCTGTCTCCTGCAGTGAGTCAGTCCCCATAGAGCCAAATGTTAAACTGTCCATCTTTACAGCTGCAGTTCCTCCAGTGTCCACTAGAGTCTGTCTCCTGCAGTGAGTCAGTCCCCATAGAGCTCCATGTTAAAATAAAAAAAGTTTACAGCCTGGTACAAAAACAGTTCGGGTCTCATTTTTCTCTTTCTGTTCAAATTATATTAAGGCTTAAAGTGATGTAGAATTAGGGGGCGTGGCCTCTTTTGAGTGACAGGTGGGAGCTGCTCGCTGTCTGCTACCTCAGCTAATTCAGTCACTGACCTTTAACCTCTGGGCCGTGTTTGTACTATTGGAGCCTTTTGGAGATTTGCTCATGTAAATAAACAAATTGTGAGTTTTTGTCACCTTATCAGTTTGTTGTTCGTCCGGTTCAGCCCCTGTATTTTGGTTCGGTTCAACCTGTAGATTCCATCTGTCTAGCTGCACGACGGTCCCATCCTCGACATGTGAGAGGATCTTAGACAGGGGTTCGTCCGTGTAGCCCTGAAACACCGACGCATGAAAACATGAAGTCAAACTTTCATAAAAGAGGAAAGATGAAAATAAAGCTGGATATTTTGTACCCACCCCTCCCCAGTTCAGGGTCCTGGCGAGGTCATTTCCCGTACCCAGCGGTAACACAGAGACGGGAGGTTGAGGGTTTAATCCGAGTTCATCGAGACTAGACAGGATCCAGCCGACCTGGTTCAACACAGACAAAAGAAGAAGAAGAAGTCAAAGAAAGAGACAAAACACAAAGTCCCTCCAAACAGTCGATGAAAGCTCGTTTTCACACCTCTAGCTCGTTTGCTCTGGTTTGAATCAGCTACATATTGCTCCTTTAATGCACACATGGTAACGGTGTATAACACTCTCTGGATTCTCTGTGTGCGTGTTTCTACTCACAGTGCCGTCTCCTCCACAGGCGAGGATCCTCAGGTTGTGGACTTTACGATACAGCTCCAACCTAAAAAGTTTGACACCAGTTAAAAGTCAACTCAGCCAAATGAATTGAATGTAACAAGGTGTGTTTGAGATAGAAACAGAGAGACGTACCCCTCAGTCGGTCCTCCTTGGCTCAGGTCAAACACCTGTCGGGGGTTCAGATACCACATGAAGGACTGCAGGATCTTAGTGCCCTGGAAACAGTAAAGACATAAAAACACTTTTAAACATGTGGAGATCACAGTCTCATCTGGTTTGTTAATGAGTGAGTTTGTAAAAAAATACCTGGTTTCCTCCACTTTTAGGGTTAACAAACACGACCAGCGGTTTCATCAGAGGTGAAGGGATCGGCCGGATTATGAACGGCTTCCACAGTCGTCCTTCCTGAAAGAGAAGAAGATAAAATACTCACTCAGAATCGACACTAAAGACTGTCTTAAGTCGGTTTCTGCAAACATATCCTTTTTTTTTTTTTAGACGTACAGAAACCCGAGTTTATCATAAATTATGTCCCAGAAACAGGTGCAAAGAATGACATTGATAATGAAATGTCCTTGGAGACTTTGAGCAGAAAAAGTCTTTGTGTTGGTTGCATTGAATGTTAGTGTGCTAGTGGAATATCTACAATCAAGGACGTCCTTTATGAGCAGCTGCTTCGTCTGTTTGCAGCCCTGAGAGAGGAAGAAAACTACACGTGCATCAACATGCCGATGGGTCTGCAGTACAAGTCAGAAAATCTACACTCTGTGGCCTCTTTTATCGTTAAACTATCATCTATTCAGATACATATATCTTGTGCAAAGGTTTTAAATTCAGATGCGATCATGTCAGAATTGTTGATTTTCTCCCTGCGTGGAGAATTTAAAACATTTGTGGGTCTGAGAAAGACGCTGTGACATCGTGCTGCTCTGCAGGACTGACCTCTGCTCCTTTCTTGCTGCTTTTCCTCTTGAACGACGTCCTCTTCTTCTTCTTACTCGACTTCATGGACGACTGATGGAGACACAAACACAAAGACAGCTGCAGGTTTTAGCGGCAGAAAAGGCGTCAAACAGATTCCTCTCCAGAAGTAACACCACACATCTCACTCTGCATCATAAAGACTTATTGATAATCCCACCTGAGCCGCCCTGATTTGTAACGATTTAAAACGTATTACCACTAAAGGAAGGAAGGAAAGAAGGAAAGAAGGAAAGAAGGAAGAATATCTACCGTCTGCATCTACAAGGTGTTTCTCTTGATCATCACAAACACAAGAAACAACTTCACAGTCAGGGAGATATTGCATGTTATTTAAAGACGAAGCGCGGTGTTACCTGATGCCGCTTTACTCGTATAATCCAGGTGGGCGGGACTATGAGAGCAGCGTGAGCTCCTATTGGACACGCCTCCTCAATCTGCTGCAGCATGAAGCAGGACACCTTGTTGTGGTACTAAAAGAGAGAAAAGCATTTTAAAACATTGATTTATTTCAAGATCAAAGTGAAGTGTTGTGATTGTTAAACGTCGTACTCACGGCCTGTTTGCACCACGAGCAGCTGATGGCCACGATCTCTTTACTGTGGAAAGCAAACTTCTGCTGGAAGCCCTGCACACGCACACAGGAGCAGAACTGCTTTAGGGATTCGCTTCTGCTCAATTGAAGGAATTCAACGACCACATTTGTAAACATTTAGTTACATATTCTCCCATTTTGACCGCTCACATTGTAAAAAAAACAACCCAAAAAGGAATCGAAACTATCTGAGAAAGGATCTGTCACTCACCTTTCCACATTGTTTGCATTTCCCTTCCTGACGCCTCCGGTGAACCCAGTGATGACGCACAACGATGGGCTGAACACATACACACATTAAACACTTCAACCACAACATTAAATACACTCTCGTAGGATAAACAGCTTCAAATATCAGTCAGATAAGCCTGCAGGATAATCAGGCCGGTGTGAGGTCCGACATCCTTCATCCTGACAACCGCAGGGTCGTTCCAGACTCGAGATCTTCCACCAGTCCAGTCGCCTTTGGTTCTGGCTTTAAGATCGGTTAAGATTCTCCTGATGAGAGTGATGCTACCTGAGATTTTAAAACTCCTGCAGTCTGAGGCAGGCTTCACATTTTCCAGTCGGAGATTAAAGAAAAGTTGGAAAAACAGAAAAATAAAACTCACCTCTCGAATGTTCCTGGAGCCTGATTCCCTGAAAGACGGTTTGCACCTGAAGTTGATCTGGAGGAGAGAAGATGAGAAAGGGAAGAGAGGAGTAAGTAAGTCTGATAACTGCTCCTCGTTTGGAACTATGAGAGGGTTTTTACTCCAGGTGAGTCGTAAAAAGAATGTTACAGTTTTCATAAAAGCATGAAACTTTGTAAACTAAAAAAAAAAAAAAAAAAGAAGCTTTTTCAGACTGATAAAAAGTGTCCTAACTAAGCTCAGCGCTGCGTCTCTCCTCTGTAATGCCTCTGTTACTACCTCTGAAGACGTT